AGGTTACTTAGACGCTATGCGGAGGGGGTGAGCGGCGGGGAGGGAGTAGGGGCGGTGTCTGCCTTGCCACTCCGGACAGAGGATACTCCTGCAGCGGGGACGATCTCAAAGAGAGACTCAGAAGCGATGCTTCACTGGTTTTCGCTCACCCGCGTTTGGGTGATACGACCATCAAGAGACTGCAGCGCCGCCTCACCCGTCTCTGATCACGCTTCACCAGTTCACGGCTCATCCGCGTAAGGGAGACACTATTAGACTGCGACGATCTTAGACTACACCGCCTCATCCTTTTCGTTCACCACTCATCGGCTCACCCGCATTCGTGCAGACGATAGGTGAACAATTTTAAGGAGAAGTTAAAGTCACACAAACCATCAAAATTCGAATCCAACGTAGGAAACTAGAAACATGAAAAAAGTGCCCGTTTACTTATATTTTTAAATAATCATACATTTATTACAATTAATACATTAAATTATGTAGAGTTAAGTTACGTCAAATTATGATTAACTTGGGAGATGAAAATTCTTCCACTCCATGAAAACTGTGTTTATGAACAGACTGATTTTTTTTCCTCGCGATTATTTAAGTTAAATGTTGGTAATATTTATCTCGGTGATAATAATTAAATCAATTTTCAAAATAAATATTCAAAATTCCGACTATTTATAAAACTATACGGAGGGAGTCACTTCTACTCTAATAGCACAGGGATTCGAAATTTGTTGGCACTTTATATTCATTATCCGATCCGAACAGTGATCGAAATGTTTCATACTTTTCATTTTATTGTAAAGCAACACCTTAGCAGCATCGCTAAGGTCACGAAAATATTTACTTCGAACCGCTTTCAAAATTAAAAGTTAGTGACTTGACGCGTGTCTGATAAAATAGTGCTTCTTTAAATCCAATGTGTCGCCAAAATTCGCAACCAACGCGTAAATAAACCTAAGGGAATCAATATAATTGTAAATAACAAATTTGGGAAACACAATCCTCGGCAACAGCATAATTCAGTCAAAAACTTACTAATTGTCTAGGAATCGCTTACGCGCACAGCATAGATTGCCACCTAACACTTTCCCGCCAAACATTGTGATGCCATTTTGGTCATTATTATAATATAAACTATTATATTACGTTATAGCATCGAGCTATGAATTCTAGTATTCCTAGTTCCATGCGTTAAACATTAGGTAATTCTGAGGATGTTGGCAACAATTGCCAACCCAAAAATGAAAATGCCCTGTGTCGCTTGTGAATACATTAGCCCAAGCGAACAGTTTGATGCTAACAAAACAGTACCCCATCCCCCGGGACTTGACTCTTACTACAACTAGCAAAAGGAGAGCTTAACAAAACGTACATATAGTGAATATACATATACATCCAAAATCAAAACAAGGGACATCAGCACTTGCTCAATGGAACAGAGAAACTGGCTGGAAAACTTGATTGAGATAGATTAAAAATTCATTAGGCAGATGTATCAAGGCAAATATTTTTCAGAATTGGGAAGAAAGAAAGGCTGAAAATATTATTTTTAGTTGAGAAAAAATCAACTTTTTATTGAATACTCACCTTTATAGTTGAAGATTAATGGAAATCATCATGATATGAACATTTTCCGTAATCTTCAACTTGAAAGGCGAGCGTATGATTGTAAGTTTAAATCCTTACTTAGCTAACATTTATTAAATATAATTGAAAACCTCACAGTCAAACCTTAAAATTCACCTAATTCATAATCACGTCTTTAACTTGAGTAGAATTAAGTAGGTGGAATGTACAAAGTGGTTCATCATTCAACAAATATATTTTCTCAATGGTCAATTAAATGTGTTTTCTTATTTAGAAAACACTGATTATAAAAATAAACTAAATGATACAAAATGTGTATTCAAGCATTTATAATTATGTATCTTACACATTTTTTCTGAAAAGGGAAAAAGGAACAGTGCAGAGCACCTATCCTAAACGCAAATGTCACTGACATGTAACAACTGAACCTTGTTGCTAATTTAGAATTTCTTTTATGCATCTTTCATATCTTTTTGGCCTTAACCTATATCTTTCTTTCTCTTCTTATTATAATTTGTTTACAATAATGATCAGTGGGGTAAAGTTCGTGTCAGCAAAGCGGGCGGACCCGGGTAAAAGAGGATCTATTTAAGGTACTAAAACTACTTGTGTTTGCCTCCCCCCTTTTTTATAAAAGGGGACCGGGCAAAAGTTTTGTGAGCGGGCCCGCACTCATTCTGTTACTTTACATAATAATTATAATTATTGTGCAACATATACTAACAAAAATAAACTATCCACCTATAACATTATGAAATTTATGGTATCTTAATATTCCTCAGAAAATTTGGAACAAAACAACGATATTTTGTATTGCACAGAGTACATGACACATCAGCTTCGGCCTTAGTAATTAACATGCTCACTTGCAGATTAGTGATAGAAACACAGTTGTCTCAATAGTTACAAATTATAAAATTGCCCGGAACGGTGCCCGTTCCTTTGACCCGAAAAATTCCGTTCACCAGAAAGGAGTCGGTTCTCAACAATGTGAGCAGATAACATTCCTCACTTTTAAGAGAATTCATTCTAAAGGGAACACTCATTTGTAAGAGAATTTATTTTAAAGGGTAATAGTAAATACATAGACATTTAAAAACATAACTCGCCTCTTGATTCTATTTCTATATTTTTATAGCTCACGCAATTTTACAACCAACGCTTTTCGACACCAAGTGGTCCGAGACGTGCTAACATACTCTCTGCATCGCATGGCGCTACCCGACGGATCCGACGTTGCGTTCGCGAGGACCTTGCGGCCATCGCTCTCGCGACCTGGTTCGCGTTCCGCTCCGGCGCTCACGCTGTTTCATAAACCTCCCTCACTTTTAAGAGAATTTCTTTTAAAGGGAAGTTGTATAGTACTGACCTGTACATCTACTAGCACACTTACACGAAAATACGAAACAGAAATAAAAAAGAAAACTTACTTACTCATTCGGGTGGTAAACGTTTACGATGCCTCGTAGAAATTCTTTCATCATATCAAAATCACGGAATTTCCTTCCCACGTGTACGCACATAAAGATGAATCGAAGCTGCTTTTAACTTCACACCACTGAGTCGCTTTCAAAATTCTATCGCGAAGCAAATTACGAAAAAAAAAACTATTTAAATGCCCCATCACAGTAAACCCAATTCCATAGAAAATACAAGAAATGGTAATTAATAAAGCTCTATCACGGGAAAAAATGCACTCAGTATACAAATATTGCAATATGTGAATAATAAATAACATTCGTTACCGTTAGAACCAAGACAATAGGTCATGACCAACTTATAATCCATTCGTCATAGAAGGCTATCGATTCAATTTATTGATTCTTTCGTTCAATGACATGGTGCATTCTATCGACTTATTTACTGAACGGGCACCGTCAACTTCTGATCAACCAAACTCACTACTACAGAGAGCAATTTTGAATATTACTTGCACCAAAAGTTCTCATGGAGACATCGTAATAGTGGACATATACAGAATCCTATTGCAATCAGCACAGCAATCAGGCTGTGATTAATACTGTAATTCTCCATAAGTAAACGTGTAATGTGTTCTTTTAGTTGAAAGAACAAATCAACAATTGATGAGGAATCTACAGTTCCCGCAGCGTATAAGCAACTCTGACAGTTCGAAGCCCAGTTGCCATATATTACTACGCACTTGGCTCCACCTACATGCCAGATCAATGAAATCTCAAACATTTACCCACAAGTTATGACACATCTTGATATCATGATCATAACTTTCGCCAAAGCCGATCCTCATCGCCTCCACGACTTCGTGCACGACAAATGATTCAGCTGTGAGAACCTAAACAATTCCTCGCAAAGTAATTGCTCCACAGCAGGGCACATGACGTACTACACCACCTGGCGAGAGAAGTGAGAGTCGCTTATACGCAGCCGGTACTGTAGCAACAACATTCATGAGCACTTAAATTCATAGAGAACTACTAATACGGATTATTCGAGTAGTTTACTGCTCAAACTTGGTATGTTGTAGGAAACATAGATCATGAACGAATTGCAAGATTTAGAAATCTGCAAACTACAATTTATCTATTAAATTAAAATAATATACAAATTCATTCTTCTCTTAAGATCCAATAATTTTCACTTCGCAAAATCCAAACAATTCTGATCAATGAAAGGCAGCGAAAATTGCACAACCCACCATAGGATCATGGCACCATCACAAAATCCGTACAAATTGATCTGCATTATACACCGATTTAAACATAGTAGCACTTCAAGGTCTCGATCTGGAAGGAAAAGGGGACACTATCATTCAATCTGGAGCTTCAATAACAAAAATTTAAGTCGTAACGAAGCTCCCGGGTGGATGACATTGTCCCCATGATGGAAAGAAATGGATGGGCTATTGCGCATCGTTCCGACATCAGCCGATGAACTTCAGGCACCAGATTGCGTAACAATATTAACGGGCATTTTAAATACACCCAGATACGAAAATTACCACCTTGTTACAAGACATTGAAACAGAAATATGGAGCATTTAGTTTTAAATATTACCACATTTATTTCAATTACAACTTTGTGTTGTTTTTCGTTGAAAATTGTCACTCCATGTTATTTTGAAAATACCTCTCGACTCAACACCTCTCGCTCTCCAAGCAACATTCTGGCGCGCGTCTGGCTTTTCAAACGAAGTGCCCCTGCTTTGGTCGCGTGGTTCCTGACACAAACTAGTGCTGCGCAGAACAAGCGAAAATCGGAGCGCCGGACTAGCTCGCCATGGCCCAAGTCTACTGAGTAGAGTAGGCCATGAGCTCGCCCATCTCTTTCCACCGTGATTGTCCCCTCTCCGGCCATCTCGGTTCGTTGAAGTGCCACTGTGCTCAAATCGACATTTTCGCCCATCCCTTATTACTGCCCTCACGAGGCCTTTGGAGCCCCCAGCACACTTCCGCAAAATAGCATAATACCATTAAATGATTATAATACAAAAGCTACCTCTTCTCATAAGACTTATTAATTTTTACTTAACAAAATTCAAACATTTCAGATCAGATGAATGACAGAAAAAATTGCACAACCCACCGTACGTTCATGGAACCATCACACACTCCGTACAAAGTGATCTCCACGGTACTCCGATTTAAAAAATAGTGGCACTTGAATGTGAAGAGCTGGAAGGAGATGGGGACATTGTCATCCAATCGGGTTCTCCAATACCAAATATTGTAGTAACGACGCTAGCGATTGGGTGGCAGTGTTACCTCTTCGTTCAGCTAGTGGACCTTGAAGTGCCGCTCCGCCTATTATTTCGATTTATTAGTAGTCGAGCTTGCCGTAAATCAGGAGTGACGTCACTGTGGTGACGTTCAAACTCCCAATTGGATGACACCGTCAACTAAACATGTTAGTGACGTTCAAGCTCCCAATTGGATGACACTGTCAACCAATCATATTAGTGAAGTTCATGCTGCAAATTGGATGCGTCAACCAATCATGTTAGTGAAGTTCAAGCTCCCAATTGGACGACACTGTCAACCAATCATGTTAGTGAAATTCAAGCTCCCAATTGTACGACACTGTCAACCAATCATGTTAGTGAAGTTCAAACTCCCAATTGGATGACACCATCAACTAAACATATTAGTGAAGTTCAAGCTCCCTATTGGACGACACTGTCAAGCAATCGTGTTAGTGACGTTCAAGCTCCCGATTGGATGGCACCGTAACCGCTGATTTACGTCAAGCGCCACCACAAATAAATGCCTTCGCCACTACCCTCACGCGGGCTTGGGAGCTGCCGCGCACTTGTGCCCCTTGACGTCTTTGGAGTGTGCGAAGCGCCGTCCGCACGCCTGGCACAGGTAGGGCTTCTCGCCCGTGTGCACGCGCTTGTGCACCGTCAGGTGGCAGTTGAGCGCGAACGCCTTGCGGCACACCGGGCACGCGTAGGGCTTCTCGCCCGTGTGCACGCGCTCGTGCTTCACCAGGGACGTCCGGTTGGTGAAGCTCTTGGCGCACAAGCGGCACCGGTACGGCCGCTCGCCCGTGTGCGTGCGCGAGTGGATCTTGAGCACGCCCGACGTGGCGAACGCCTTCTCGCACACGCCGCACGCGAACGGCCGCTCGCCCGTGTGCGTGCGCTCGTGCTTGGTGGCCAGGTCCTTGCTGGCGAACGCCCGCGCGCAGAAGCCGCACGCGAACGGCCGCTCGCCCGTGTGCGAGCGCCGGTGCAGCTTAGTGGCGACGCCATCGCGGAACGACCGCGGCACAGCGTCGCCTCGCGTGCTTGCGATCGCCCGTTAGCCCCTGCGTTTTGCGCTCGTGTGCCGTTGCCGAGTGCCGCGGCAACCTGAACTGCTGCGACCAGAACGCGCACGGGTACGGCTTCTCTCCTGGCTAGCGGGAGGAGGGGAGCGCGTAAAACACACTTGCGCTCCTTTCAATCACTCAATCAAGCACAACACATAATAACTAATAATTAATAATCGATATATAATAATATAATAAATTAATTATATAATAAGTGTGATAATAATAGCCATTACATTTGTACAAAAGCCAGTACGTTTCATTACATTTTAATTTATTATGCGTATAATAAATATTTTTTTTTTTTTAAATAAAGAAACTTCTTTAGATCCTTAGCTACTTGAGGAAACGTATGATTTTCATGAATCGGAAACATTCAGAACTCAGCAATGTTTGCTACTATGATAAAACATGTAGTACACCAAACATACATGTTTATACAGTTTCAAAATGTATTTATATTAAATAAAATATGATTAAAGCACTGTGAAAGAGTTAAAGAGTCCTAAAGACATTGGAAAACATGATCATGTGGTCTGTACGAAAGTATTTTAAAAAAATATAATATAATAACAAATTTTGTTTTGTACTTAACAATCAATAATCTGGGCCATCCTCAATATCATTTTCATCATTTCAAATCAGCGACTGAAGCTCATTTTACACAAAGTGATGACATTTTGGTATGTTGGGAAGCATAGTCATAATATCCTAATTTTGTGGCAGCAATCTTCCTTTCAGCTGGATACCATTATTAATTTTGAAAATATCTTATAAGATATTTAGTTGCTTGCAGAACTTTCCTTTTTGTGGCCTCTTACTTTGTAATCTTCCTCCCATAAAGTAACTGTTGAATAACGAGACTGTCCTGCTTTTCTGGATAAGTTTACTTCTATTTCTTACATATAATAATCCAAAGTTTCTATTTAATTTCAATTTTACTTCCTTCCCAACACACATTTCTCTTCCATTTCTTTGATTTCTCACAGCTACTTGGAACACCATCACTGTCAGCGCTATCCGTGTTTTAAACTAATGATCACGTGACCACATCTTGGAGTGTTATTGGAGAGGAAAATGACGCTCGCTTACTTTGGCACAGCAGAAACCCAAGTTTTCATTTTAGTGTGTACTAATGCACGAAAAAAGCATGGGAAGGAGGTGAAATTTATTAATAACCCTATTAAATAAAACAATGTACTTTTAAATCATGTAAAAATCTCAATTTTGGAAAATTTATGGCATAGCTTACTCTTGCTTTTTACACCTCAATTCAAATGAAAATTCTTCAATGAAGTATACAAATCAACTGTTGTACTGCAAAATGGGTAACAATGACTCACATGCATTCACTTCTAATAAATGGACAATGAGTTGGTTTAAATGATTTGGCCACCTGTGAGCTAATTGACAAAAAGAGAAGCACTCAAAAGAAAGCACTCAAACCTGTATGAGTACGCTGATGAGTCTTCAAGTGAGAAGGATCCAAGAAAGATTTGCCGCAGGTGTCACACAAACATGGTAGTTTCCTCTCCTTGTGATGAAGATACCTGCACTCATAAACCACCGTTTGAAAACTGAAGTAAGACTAAGCCAGCAAAACAATTAGCATAAGTGATATTCAATGAATGCACAACAAATTTCAACAATGCTTTCAAATTCTGAGCAACAATTCAGAATAGGGGAAATGTACCAATAATGGGTCAGTTGAATCTTACAACACAAGTTTTGTCAGATGTATATCTGACTTGTCTCAACTCTGTTAAGAAATATGCACATCAAAATTATATCATAAAAACGAAAAGTATAAGGGCATCTTATTCCATTCGCAATGGACCACTATCCTACCCTCTTGCACTTTTTTTGATGGATTTTTTTCTTCTTCTTGAAGCCAAATAGAGCTCCTTTTGAAAGGGGAAGGAACAGCCGGACCAGGCATTTGAGAGCTAACACCTTGAGTTGAGCTTACTGCACGTTTTATTGGTGTTTGCTTCTGCTGCAATAATGAACCAGCACGATCTTGGTTAACATGGAAATCAATTAGTTCTGGCTGATCTACTGAGCCAACCTCTATCAATTGTACCATTGCTGAAGAAGATCTTTGAAAAGTTTTTGACTCTGGAACCCAATTTGTAGAGGGTCTTATCTTCTATGACCCTGGAAAAATATTCCTTATTGGAGTTGAATTACAATACTTTTGCAGCTCCAATATTTGTTTCAATTTACTTGTTTATTATTGAATCTCCAAATTTTTGCTTTTTTCTGAAATCCAACTGAATTCTTGGGGCTCTGGTGTGCCTGGAAAGCCATATGCACAGCATCATGGTTCCATGGCATACCACCCCATTTCTCCCCAGAGCAAGCATGCTGATAAATTCCATTCACCCATCAATTCCATTTCACCAGCTCTTTTATTCCAGAAAAAATCAATGATACATCATGACATACTCAACACCGTTTTATGAACATCCACTCAAGTCTGCTGTGTTGTTGTTTTGATATTAACATGAAGTTTTTAATTTGATATTGCTGGAAGATGTGGGAGATAAGTTTTTGATCTTTATTTTCCAAATAAATTGCATTATGGGAACTAAATCCACAACACACTCTGTCAAATATGTAAAATCGTTAAGTGCAACTACTTTTTGTTATTGTTTCCTTTTAAATATAGAGTCTATTCGAGCTACTTTTCATACATTTTCAATTTTAGATCTGATATACACCTAGAATGGTGAAAATTAGTAGCAGAAAGACAATATTGTATACATAGTGAAAGAAATTGATCATGATAAAGCAAAATATATGTTCTAACTTTGTATATAAATAATATTCACATAATGGTATAAAATTGTTAAGTGTGAAGATGAAAATGCAATTTATTGAGAAGTAGGGTGTTACTGAATTCTCAGAATTATTTTAAATTCCATCTCATTTCATGTTAAAATTTTGCATTTCATATTTTTGATATATTACACTATGAAAAGTATTCATCAATAATAATTTTTGGTTGTTTCTATTACATTTCACAATACTGGTTATCACAAACTAAATCAAAACCTGTTTCAACATACTTTCTCTATTTATTAACCCCAAAATTAAAATACCAGAGTGGTGAAAAAATTCACTGTTCATCTGTTAATGTTTGGGAGGACAGCCTTCCAAGACTTTCATTCAAAACCCTGAAAAACGTACACTTCTTCGATTAAGCTTTGTCATCCTCCATTCAGCTACATTCTCCTCTCAAGTCCATTTAAGTAAGTGGAAACCAGTCATTGACAGATTCCATCAAATGGAAAAAGGAATTTGGAGAAATTCCTAGCTTCTGCAAAATTGCTCAGTGACATTGACTTTTTGTCACTATAATTCAAGTGAAACTCACAAAGTCCCAATGGCTAAATTTAGCTGAGAATCAGCATTTATGCTGACTCTACAGCAAATCTGGGCAGTTCTAGGGTTTGAGTACCATTCGAGGTGGATTTTTATCTAGCAAAAGATATCGAGAAGACAAATTTAACAGAATCTTTAACTTGATTAATTTCCAAACACAGTTTTTGGACTCGCTGACTTTCACTGGTTCATCAATGATATGTGTGGTATGTTCGTCCATGAACCTCTAGGTATTCAATAACTTTTTCAATAAGAGAAGATGAAAAAATTCACCATAAAAATGAGTTGTGAATCATCAATGCATTCTGTAAGCCAAGACTTCACACATCACAGCATCAATTTATTGCAATTGTGTCATTCAGCAATATGTTTCTCTCACGTTTCTTGAAAAATAGAAAAAAAGAAATAGTTTATTAAGGATAAACATGGTACAAAACTTCTTAGATGAGAAAAGTTCTCAGAGAGCATTTGCTGGAAGAAAGACTACCAAATTATATGCTTCATAGACTCTACAGCTTTTTTTAGCTTTATTTTTCCTTCTTACCACTAAAATGTTGTTCAATTTGTAATTGAGAAAAAAATAATTGTTGGAATCTAGGAAAACTGTCGTAGGCCATATCTCTCAACATTTTCTCACATCTTATTGAACCACTTGCCCCTGTCTTTATATGCAAAAGTACTTCTCTTTCTAGACAAGTTCTGCGTGAATTGCTAAGAAATTTCTGGTTTGCGCCGATAAAAACCTTTATACCACTTTCTACTGAGGAAAGAGATTCCACTAAGTGATATGTTCAGTTCTTCATTGAACTTTCTTGCACTGCACAGCAGCATTTCCTTAGAAGCTGGAAATCCAGCCTACACTACGGATTACGTCCATTTGGCAAGCTGTCTCCCATGTTCTTCAGAGAATTTCAGTTTTGGACCTGTTTTGGTAGCAGCATCAGGATATGCCTATTTCAATATCAGTTAAAATGTGGACGAGCATGATAACATAACATGCATGGTAACATTTGTAAACAAAAATGAACCACAACAAAATCAACTGAGCCACAACAGCAAATTCTTTCTGGTATTATTAGTCACAGTTACACAATGTTATAAAAATTTCTATCTTACCAACACTTCAGCAATCACCTGAAAAATTCCTAACCAAACAAAGCACAAGAGGGTTGACAAAAAAATATACCTTTACTTTTCTTTCAAAATTTTAAATGAGTATGGGTTATTGACATTATTTGACCAGCTTGGGATGTGAACTTAAGTGCCTAGATTTACAAAGCAACACTTTTTGCTCCTATGTGTTGGGTTCTCACTATCAATTCTTAGTGTTGAGATGTTTCCAACTTTTAAGGTAAAATTATCTGCTTGTTATACTAACAAAATAAAAAGAACATGTATGTATTCTGGTTTTCATACCAATGTCTCTTCAACATCGATCTTTGGGGGAAAGCACGTCCACATTCATCACAGCCCAACTTGGGGTCGGTGGGCAGCCCACAACGATGGTCACGCAGCATACGTTCCTGTGGGAACACCATCTTGCAGATTGTACACGAGTGAGACAAAGGCAAATCTTTGCTAACACCCTTTCGCAAGCGGCTTCTTTTGCCTGCTGGTGTGACAATATGGATTTCTCCTTCAACATTGTCTTCGTCTGAAGCACTCTCTCCATGTGAAACGATTTCTGAGGCAGTGGAAAAACTGTTTCAAAACATAAACCCTGAAACATTCTTTATATGAGGGTTGGGGCAGAAGGCATGGCAACTAATTTTTTTCTAAAAGAAATGTTGTTTGATCAGACAATTTTATTTGTAATGTGAAAGAAATGCTGTACTAATGTGTGTTCACAACAACAGATGTCTGTGTGAGTGTCTTTATTAGCACAGAGAACAATGTGAAAACAGTTGTTTGATTGTCACCATTCAAGATTATTGTAATCAGTTTCAAACAGTGCTCATACACAAAGATAGTCATTCTCCATGGGGAAAAAAGCCCTAGAATATCACAGGGAATAGGTGAAAGTTCTTGGGAATAATGGCCTTCCATTCTGGACAGTTGCAAGATGTGCAGGTGAGTTTCTGTGGAGATGTGTAGCAACCACTGATCAGCAACGCACGTGACGATTTGTGAGTGTGTGGAGCAATGTGGCAAAAGCGGTAATCAAGGACCTGCCTAATCAAGCCCTTGGAAAGGGTGGTAATGCTTTTGGAGTGTTGTGAACTCTTATAGGCAAAAATTCTTTGGAACATGAAACTAGTACTGTCATTTCAAATACCTTAATAAATAAGAGGAACACAATTTTGGTGAGAAGTTAAATGTCCATGCACTTAGTTCATATTTCGTCCTTTCATGTACATATTGCACATTATTCTCACTAAAAATGAGTTACCATGACTTCTGCCCCATCCCTTGTACATTCAAATCCATCAAATAAATTAGCAAAGTGTAAAAGTCTAACAATGAAATAATATTTTGAAATTCTTTAGCCTGGTAATCTAAACTTACACAAATCCAATCTTCAATAGATTTATGTAAATGAGAAACACTACAAAACTGGTATCTAATTTTGTTACTTTGTTACAAACATTAGAATGAAAACACTTTTACATGATCTGTCTTCATAAACAGCATTGAAACATGGGCTAAAAGAACAGAAGGAAAAAAAAAAATGTATTCTAGATGTGGAACTACTGCCATATTCTCAGGAAGGTAGTAAGAATAGGCAGTAAGAATTATGGTTTTGATGATTTAAATCATTTGATTTTAATCATCTGATTTAAATATTTTTTTAATAAATTGTTAAGTAAATATTTATTTTGTTAAGTCAATGTCAAAGAACTGAGAATTATAAAACATCCTAGAGTTCCTTTAAATTGATCAAAGAATATCAATTTTGGGGAAAATCTGTTGGACGGTTTTGGCGCTAGCTTTGACCACAAACGGATGGACAAACTGACTGACAGATGTTTCATCGCCAATCGATTTTTCGTTATCAACGACCAATAAAATATAGATTCTGACTACACATGTTGAGGAAGTGATTTCCTAAATATAGGGGAACAAGATTTATCCACTTTTTTGCAACCAGGGTCCAGCAATATGGTTTTTGTCAAAAATTCACCCTTTTCCAGTGCATAATTACAATACTTTCTCTTCTTATGAAGTAAGGGCGAGAAAGTAAAAAAAATGAATGTGTAACTAAACCATTGAACCATTGCTAATTTAAAAAATTCAGAGGTTTTAATGAAAAGGATTTTCACCATGTTCACAAGTGCCATTTGTTCTATTTGAGTAATACTTTTTGTTTGGGGGGGGGGGGGGGG